TTTTGTGAGGAAATCGCTGACACAATCGTGCAGTTCCACGGAACGACGAAGAACAAGCCAAGCAGTTCAGTAGTGGCAAGGAGCACAGCCACTGAACCGAAAAGGTATCTTTCGTTGCGCAAAGGTATCTTTCCGACAGGCCTGTACGGAGCCAGATCCCAGAGACGATCTCTCCGTACGTCGGCATCAAGAGGATATCCCGTGGAGATCCCAGCCACCGGTACAGCAGCTACCGGCACGTCGAGTGCAAGCCACCGCAGGAGCATGTCCTGGCTGCACGTCCACATGCAGATTGCTAGCTACTAGCTACCGGCACAAGAGCTACCGGAGCAGCGCAGCTCGAGCCAGCTTCTTGCTAGCCAACCGGCGCAAAAGCTACCGCAGCAGTGCAGCAAGCTACAGGAAGCACAGGAGTGCATCTGCCTCCATTGCTTGAATATAACTATTTCCTTGGAGTGTGTATTGAGTTTACACTCTTCACCTCCTATCCTTTCATGGAGTGTGTATTGTGGCATGCAAGCCATAGCACCTCCTACTACCAATTTTTGGAATGTATTGTGGCATCCAAGCCACAGCACTTCCTCCCTGATTACAGGCAAACCTGAGGCAACACCAGCCTCTAGGTAGGCAACAACAGATACCTTTACAAGACCATGCCCTTGCTATTTGATCACAGCAACTGCACAGGAGTGTGAGGGTACCCAAATCCAAAACCTACAATCCTACAAACAAAATCATCATAACATCCGCCTTTATAGGCAATGCCGTAACCATCAATGGCCACAACTACACGGCCAACAACCATCAATGGCTACATCAACAGCCAGCATCGATGGCAACAACAGCCAACAACGGTATCTACCACTACCAAACCGATTACAATGAATCGACCAAACCAAAATTCGAATTGCATCTACAATAACGGCAACTGCAACAAACAGCAGAACGACAGTGAACGTTGAACCGAGTAGCTAGCTACAAGCAACTCAAAAGTTCACAAGACAAGGAACCAAGCAACAGGATGGCTGGAGCATTCAGAGTTTGACCCACAAGCGGGAACCTGATCAATAGAAACAACAAGAGGGTGCACACCTCACTCCACTGCACTACGCAACTACTGTACAGAGATTGCAACCAACCTAGTCTCACACCAACAACAGAAGTACACCAGTACAACAAACCAAGCCAACCATAGATACAACTACGGACAACTACAAGTCCTGCCACAGCCAACTCACAGGAGTGTAAGAGCAGTGACAGAACCAACACTTGTCCTGCCACAGCCAACTCACAGGAGTGTAAGAGCAGTGACATCACCAACCAAAGGATCTACCGACTACATCACCATCGAACCATCATCGACCGTGACACGTCCAGGTCCAGTGGAGCCCATCAAGTTGGAGCATCCACAACTACTACCGAATACTTCCTTACAAGTTTCCAAACTTCCAAGGGCTTCCAGCCCCAACTCAAAGTATCATTGTGGCAAGGAACTTCCTCCTAGTTCCAGCTACTACAACAGTTCTCACAAGTGTCGCTATAGCCTGACTTCCCAGTCTCAGCTACGGCAACACCAAATGACGGTACCAAGTGTACCAAGTGACGGCACCAGTCACCACAAGTGACGACACCAACAGTCACGAGTCTCACATGAGTATAAACACCCATGACAAGAGGAAACAATAACTCAACCATTTCCTCATTCCATCTTCAGACATCGAGACCATACCAAGAACTAGGTTCAGTCGAACCCAACAAGTCCGTGACTTCCAAGCTACATCATTTCCAGCTTCCATGCACCTTCCAATAGGGCATCACTTCCCACAAGTCTACGACTTCCAGAAGCTTCAACCAGCTTCCATCTACGAAGGGCTTCCGGCCCCATCAAGTGTCAATGCAGCCGACCTTCCCAGTCTGAGCCGCAGGTACACCAAGTGACGGTATCATCCGACACCAATCTTCCAGGAGGAGTGGCATCACTCCCAGCAGGAGTGCCAGCCACAAAGACTTTTCCGATGATGACAATGTCCGTATTGTCTCGTCTCCACCGCTCAGCTTCTCGTTACCAAGCGGGATGCCGAGCAACTACTTCCAAGGTTTGTTTTGGACTCATTGCAAGCCAGTCGACACGACGACGCGAGACTGGATTGCAAGCCTTCCCAAGGCAGGAGCCTGCTTACCCAAGCACAGATAGTCACTTTGAGTGCTATCGATTCTCAGGAATCTTAGAGGAACCACCTCTAGCTCCATAGCAACCCCAAGGTGCATCCAATGTCCAAACCAACCCAGCCAACTTTGGCTAAAACAAGTACAAGTCCTGCCACAGCTAGCTCACAGTAGTGTGCCAACAGTGATAGCAGGAGTGGTATTGATAAAGTTGTACCCACCAAAACCAAAGTCTCAAACCTTTTTCAACCTTCCTTTGAATTCTCCTATCGATCTATCCAGATTGACACACCAGATCGACTGACAAGAAACGATCATGCCAGATCGAATGACACGAAGCGATCGAATCACAAGCAGCGACCACGAGATCGATTCAGTTTGACTCTCGGGATCGACTCAGAAGATCCATCATGAGATTGCAAGTGCGACCACAGAAGCCTATCGAGGCAGAGCAAGCTTACTCAAACAAGGGTAGCCACACACCAGTGCTACCGGGATATCTTCTGCAGAGGATTCCCACAGTTCCACAGGAACAGTTCCACCATGGAACCAGCTCAAAGCAAGCAACAGTTCGACGGAACGCCACAAGTTGCCAGCACCCATCTACAAGAGGTGCAAACCAAGGTCCACATCAAGCAAGCACACATTCATGTGCAACAAGTCACAGCCATTCGATTCCAAAGAAGAGGAGGCCGTGATGGAGGAAGAAGCTTCCCCAGCTGGGAAGAAGAGGATTCCATTCCTCTGAAAAGACAACAGCAGGACATCCAAGAACACTTCTTGGACATCCAACAAGAAGAGACAGCTCACGTTCCATTCCAATGGACAACAAGCTGACTCCAGATAGCTACCAAGCTATTGCACAGACTCATATGCTCACCTGATTTCCAAATCCAGTATCAAGCCTGAATGGATAGATGTTTCCACACATCATTGGCGATTGAGACCATGGCATATCGATGTCCAGTTCAGTCTACACCGCCAGTCAAGAGCACAGTTTGAGTCTACGAGAATGCAGCCGGAACTTCCTAGTTTCCAGCTACAGCAATACCAAGTGACCAGAACTTCCCAGTCCACGGTTCAAAAAGCGATCGGAACTTCCCAGTTTCGAATACAGCAACATCAAGTGACGGCACCAACCGCCACAGCAAGTCATACAGGAGTGGCAACACTCACAGGAGCGAGTGGTGGCAAAGTGGCTTTTCCTGACGACACTGTCCACATGTCCACATTGACTGTGACAGATTTGTCAGCACTGCTATGGATGACAAGCTTCTCGCCACCAAGCGGAATGCCGAGCAACCTAGCAAGTGGTCTCTCGACCAACAACTGTTCCTTATGGAGCAACCATCATTACATTAATTATTCGTTCCACGGTATCCTTTATAGAACCGTGCAGGAGTGTGTTGGAGGTTGTATTACAGACACCTCAATACAAATTAGTCGTTTATCCCAATCTAGTTGATAGGGGATATCTATATCTATTCTCTAGTTACATACATGGGGAGTTTAACTGATCTATATGGTCACCCCCTTCACTATATCCTTTGAAGTTGAATCAATCCCAGAAAACATGGAGAAAGATCACTTCTTGGAAATAGCTTAACAGTAAAACAGTATTTTACCTTTACTAAGCTAGAGTGTTACTAGCAATCAACAGTAGCTGACTACAATGGCTGGATTAACAATAGTCGGTTTTGTGCATGTATTCGTCATAAGGATCCAATGCGAGGTAACCGAGTGCAGCGAGCAAAGCGGAACCTGAGTGTGTTCGCTACTGTTGCCACTGTCACTGATCGATGAACTCTACTGTAACTGGCTACGATGGCTGGATTGACAATGTTCGGTTGTGCATGTATTCGTCATAAGGATCCAATGCAAGGTACTGGTAACGGAGTGTAGCCAGTAAAGCGGAACCTGAGTGTGTTCGGTACTGTTGCCACTGTCACGGATCGATGTAACTCTCTGCCTACGGTAGGTACCGTAGCTGGCTATACAATGGCTGGATTGCATCTATTCGTCATATGGATCCAAGTAGCGAGCAAACTGAGGAAACAGGAGACCAACGCTGAAAAAAAGCCGAATTTCCTGTTCGGGTGAAGCCAAAATATAGGGGTAGAGATAGGCGTAAGCCAACAAAACTGGAAATTGAATGTGCTACAAATTTAGGGGTAGGCATAATTCAAGGTTAGTGCACTCAACACAATAAGCCACAGAAGCTACAAAAGTTACAGGTATATATGGGAGTGACAGCTGTAAAATTATGGTTAGCGGGCGGCAACACACGACGAAGTCGGGTGTTGTCGCCAGGGCTAGCATAAATAAAAAAGAAGGTTATAATGAGGGAATGATACCGGGCGGCAACACACGACGAAGTCGGGTGTTGTCGCCAGGGCTACCTTGAAAGAAGGGTGCAATCTCAAACATGTCATCCTTCTTCTATCTGTCTTTCTGCCGAGGTATTGCAGCTCCCGCTGACTTAATTACATGTATTACCGGTACTTGGTCCGCGAAGGCGACACGAGTAAGGACGGTACTATTTTAAAATAGTACCTGGTACAGTCGTACCGTAATGAAGGTCCAACCGAGGCCGAGGTGTGCGAAAGGATCTCTATTTTATGCGACGAATGAGGCGGCAAAGAGAGATCGCAACGAGGTGCTTGGGGAGAAGACGGAGGATCTTGATGAGCAAAGAAAATTTATTTTATACAACGAACGGTGCTGGCCTCCTCGGCCTCCGCCTTGCCCGGGAGCCAGGAAGAGAGATCGCCACGAGGAGAGCATGCTGTGCAAACAAAGTAGACTTTATGCAACAAATGGTGCAGGGCGTCAACCTATGCCTTGTCCAGGAGCCGGAAAGAGAGATCGCCACGAGGGGCCCCGCGAGGAGACTCAGGAGCACGGGCGTTCGTGCCTGTGTTGTGGTTGAGGCTGTTCATCTCGAACGATTGGATCTCTTCATATCCCGCTTCCTTCTTCTCCGTTTTGGGAATAAAAGGCTTGAGAACTTTCTTGTACGCGAAGAACATACTGAGGGCACAGAACGAAATGAGCACCGCAACGCCAACCGTAAGCACCCTCATCACTGCCTCCATTTCATGCTCCTTGTAGCGAAAGAAATCTTCCTGTTGCATGGGCATCTTTTCTCGGCCATCGTTGCTATGCGGCTCTGTGCTCAACCCGTTCTTTTCCCTCTCTTCGTCTCTTTCATTGATTTGACGCAGCTTTGACTCCTTGTCAGCCATGCAATCAACTCCAATGTGAGTCACACCCTCAGGAATAGTCCAGTGCTTGTGGCAAAACAATTTGCCAAAGATGGTCTCATCTCGCTGAACAGAATAACAACGCTGGAAATCACCCACACACTCATCTGGCCAGCCTTGGACATAGTCTTGTAGCCTTCCACTGATGGTGGTGCTGTATTCGTTGCTGCTTGAGCACAATGTTGAAAGCTCCATGGGGCCCAAGTTGCCATGATTTTCTTCCGGGATTGTATGAAAGGTGAAGTTGCAAGGGCTAATATGCGCCGTGTATTTGGCTCTGGGGTTGCTCTGGCGTGAAGCACATGGCTGGTTATTCCTGAGTTCGGTGTGGCTGTCGCCCGCGTTCCAGTGCCTGCTTTCATAACTGTTGTCAAAAACCTTGTTGAGGTCATAACCAAGGCGCGTACAAATCTGTTCTGTCCTTGTCAGCCCTTCCAATTCTTCAGCCTTCTTTTTCTCCTCTTCTTCTGGTTCATCAAGCTTCTCGAGCTTCATTTTCTTATCGGTGGAGCAGTCAACCCCAATGTGAGTCACACCATCTGGGATCGTCCAATGTTTGTGGCAAAATCTGGCGGCAAAGACCGTTTCGTCCCTCTCAACTGAGTAGCAACGTTGGAAGTCCCCAACACATTCATCTGGCCAGTTGTGAACATAGTCCTGCAGCAGCGTAACAGCAGAATCATGATGCTCATTGCGTTTTGAGCATGCAGATGAGAGTTCCATTGGGCCCAAGTCCTCATGAGTTTCCTCTGGGATAGTGTGGAAAGTGAAATTACAAGGAGATAGGTGGCTTGTGTAGTGGTCTCTGGGGTTTGCTCTGGGGGATTCACAGGAAGGATCTCCTTTGAGATATTTGTTGCTGCTGCTGGAAGTCGACCAGTAGCGGTCATACGACGTGTCGTACTTCCTGTGTAGGTCGTATCCATTTCGAACACACATTTGTTCTGTCAAAGTCATATTCGCTGTTTCTCTTTCTTTCAAGGTCTTTTCGTCTTCTTTCTCTTGCATGAGCTGGAGCTTTGTTGACTTGTCTGCAGAGCAATCAACAGCCACATGTGTCACACCCTCTGGGATGGTCCAGTGTTTCTTACAAAACATGGAGCCAATTATCATTTCATCGCGTGTCACAGAGTAGCAACGCTTGTAGTCTCCAACACACTCATCCGGCCAATTGTACACGTAGTCTTGCAACACTGTGGCTGTAGTTTTTCCACCATATGAAACCTTCTCATTGCTCTCGGAACACATGGTGGACAGCTCCATGGGGCCGATATTGGTGTAGGTTTCTTCGGGGATTGTGTGAAAGGTGAAATTGCAGGGACTGACATGTGCGGTATAATGGTCTCTGGCGTTGCTTTTGGGAGACGCGCACTTTGGATCCATTTTGAGATGGGTATTTGAACTACTGGCAGACCAGTACCTATCATAGGTATTATCATAGTTCTTCTTTGGGTCGAAACCCAGGCGGGTGCACATCTTTTCGGTGTCAGTCAAGTTTTCATTGTCTTGAGTGGTGCTGCTCGTCGAGTGGCTCGAACTGTACGAGTAGGAACTCTGGGCTTCAGCGCTGCCAACAACGGCGAGCATAACACAGAAGCGGAGAGGAGAAGGGAGGCGTACCATCGTCATCTTGATTGCATGTACCACTTGCAGAAACAGAAGAATGGATTTGATTTGGTGGTACCGGTACTAGTAAATCTTCGTAGAGGTAGAGGTCAAGAGTCAAGAATGATGAGGTTCGGGCAGTCGACGGGAAGATTTGAGCGACCCTGAAACGTGGGTTGACAATCTCTCGCAGGCTGACTTGACAAAAAACATTTCGGATGGACACAACACGCTGTCGTGAATGCTGGATTGAAGAAGGTTGCTGTCGTGGATTTCTTTGGCCGTCAATGGAAAATGTCAACTGGGGCTTTCGGGAACGATGAAAAGACACCAAAGAAATCTGTTCTATGACTATTTACCTCACGTCCCTCAACAATTTTGTCCCCCCAAAATGAGCCAGTACAGTCGTACCTGGTAGACGTCGAGTCGAGTCCTGAGTTCAGACAATTCCGATTATCCTGCTCCCTAACGCAGTAAAGGCATCTGAATGAAGCTGCTGTTTTGACGTTATCTTAGTGTAACGGTGGGAGTCTTACAAAAGCTAACAGTTGGCATGCTGCTTGTCTTGTTGGTGTCAAAGGATCTAATTGATGCAAGAATCACATTTTTGAAATGGATACCTGCCAGACCTGAGCTGCGTGCCTCCACAAGATTCCAGAAAATTGGCAATCGTTTTGGGCCAACCGGTACATGTTACCATTCTCTGGCTAGCTAGCTTGCACTACCCATGATAGCACTCCAGACGCCATTATTATCCTCTGCCTGCTTCTTCTTCTTCTTCTTCTTGATCATACCTTGTTATCCGTTAACTGTAGTTCTGTCCAACAATGGTGGACTACTCGGATAGAAACGTCTATGGAAGTGGTGTGGCTTCCCTGATAGGTGATGGAGGGATATCACTGGATGGACAGAGCGTCCAATTACCAGACGACGGTGCATACGACATGCAAGATGATATATCATCCATCAATGAATCTAGTGTGTATCGTAATGATCTTCCCCAAATCAAAATTGTAGGGACTGCCGAGGACTTGGAGGGGGGGATTACTGACCTGGAAACACCAGCTTCCATGGCCTTGTCAAACAATCCTGGCGTCGAAGTCATGGCACCCAATCTCAAGGACAACGATAACACCTTGTCAACTACTATCCCCATTTCAGTGGGCGAACTTCCGAAAAAAGCACCCAACATGAAGAATACCAGCAAACTGAGTGTTGACGGCAAGAAACGACGGCGTTGTCTACCCACTTGGGTATCTGAAGCACCTAGTTGGCTCAAATGTGTCATTGTGGTTAGTCTCGCCCTCCTGGTGGGAGCAGTAGCTCTGGTTTCTGTAGCGTTAACCACAGCAATATCCGAACAAGAGGAAGCTTCCCAGATTGCCACTGCCAGCAATGCTGAAAATGCAACACCGCAAAATCCACAAGTCACTGTCCCAATATCGCCTGCACCCTCTACACTTATCGTTCCAGAATCAGACACCACAGATCCTCCAAGTGCAAGCGAAAGCCATGTTTCATCGCCTACAGCAGCGCCGATGCAATCCACGCCATCAGGTCAAACTGCAAGCTCCAACACGACAGCACCTACGTTTCTTCCTGATTCAACCCCGGTGGTTGTCGTCACTTCCACTTCCACACCCACAGCACAAGCCACTCCTCTTACAACAGATGGAGCTGCAGCAACAACAGTAACTGATCCTTCCCCAACAGTGACTCCTGAGCTGGTAGCAGCTACAGATGAAGGAACAACAACAGAGGAAGAACAAATCCAAGAAGAAGACCCATACGATCCTCTAGTGACAACTTTCTTTGTCACGGGAGGACGATTCACAAATGATGCGCTCGCAATGGTCCCAGACCAATTAACAACGCTCCCGACTCGAGGTGGAACTTCTTTCATGGTCCATCTTGGAGATTGGAACAGCCCCTACGCAACTCGATGCGATAGACAATCATATCAGCATGTCAATAACTTGTTTTCCAATAGTTCCATTCCAGTCTACTTTATCCCAGGGGACAACGATTTCAACGGTACGTTCATATCCCTACAATTTGATTGATGATATTTGGGTCAGTCTTGTTCTTTCTCCGCTGTATTCTCACGTAGTGTTTGCCTCGCATTGGTCATAACAATAGATTGTCCAAACCCAGAACAAGCTTTGTCGCTCTGGCATGAATACCTGCAGGACTACGAAACCCAGTATTGGGACGCGCCTTCCAAGTGGACTATCGAACGCGATATCAAGAACGATTATCCAGAAAACTTTGCATTCGTCTACAATGAAATCCTGTTTGTGGGCATCAACCTTGTAGGAGGTGTGGTACACAATGCCACGGAATGGGAGACTCGACAAGCTTCCAATCTCATTTGGATTGAAGAAAACTATCAATTGCACAAGGATTCCATCCAGGCATTTGTTCTGTTTGCGCACGCGGACCCCGACGTCCCCTCGAACAGTCCCTTCTACGAACCTTTCAAGGAACGTGTCAAAAAAGAATACAATCAGATACCAGTTGTTCTGATTCACCGAAACTTGGGTGTGGAACCCTGGAGTTGGGAAACAGAGTTTGAAAACATCAACAACTTGTCCGTGGTAGTGGTGGCTGGTTCCGTGTGGCCACCACTCATGGGTGCTGTGGATTTCCGCCAAAAGAATCCGTTCATCTTTGATCAGAGCAATTGGTACGACGATTACATTGAACATCGGTCCTCCGCTGTTTCGTCCTCATCCAGGAGTGGTGGACGGATGCTACTGTAGCTTTACATACTTGATAGTTAGTTGAAGATCTATTATATTACATTCAATTTTAAGCCATCCTTTTGTCCCGGTCCTTCATATCCAGCATCAGATACAGATAACCAATTCTAGCAAACACACCGTAGCACTACATCTCATTTTGAATAGTTCAAATTCTGGGGCAGGGCTCCCATAGTGGTTTGTCATTATTGGTCTGCTTTCAGTGTTGCCTCATGATCTGCTTGGAAATCGATCGTGACGCAGCGCTGTGGGCCGCTTGCCTGGGTATGACAAATTGATGTCATCAATTGTTGACATTCTCCCTCACCCATTCAAGGTACTTTTTAAAGTCGACACTGACGGCTATTTGAATGCCTCTGCAGTCGTTATCGTTGTCATCCTCGATATCCTCGCCCTCAGCTTTTACTAGCAAAACCGAGGGTTGCTGATCCAATATTTGGACGCGGACGTATTGATGTGGCTCCCAAGTGACCGCGTCCGGGTTATCAATGCAAAATGCACACACGGGGTCGCAGGAAATCGAATAGGCCCAGCTGTCAAATCGTAACACAGTGCGAAGAAAACACTTATTGTTGCGCTGTGCCATGTCAACAATAAAGTCCTTGACGCTTTGTTCACCCATTGCAGATTGGATGGTTTCCATGTTGCAGACAGAGCTAGTCATTAGCCGTATCTTGTTTGCTAGTAGCGGGGACTCCAAGACTTGCTTCGCAGCATGGGGATCCAGTCCAAAGTTGAATTCGGGAGATTGGATCGTATGAGCCACGTTGGGATGGTTTCCTCCTAAAATATAGACCTGATGAATCTTGGATGTAAAGCAACGATTGTTGTCATGGTCAAGCCAGTTTGCCAGATTCGTCAATGGACCAATGCAGAGAATGTCGACGCTGTTTTCGTCGAACTTGTCTATTCGGTCCATGACAGCTCTCAGAGCTGCATCCTTGGAGTCATGTTCCTTGTCATTCTCTGCATCCTCCTTTGTACCAAAATCAGTATCGTCGGCTGCTGGTCCATTCCATTCCTGTACAAAGGCATCCAACTTGGACGATCGGTAGGAATCCAGCCATTCCGGGATGGGATCATAGGGCATGACCGGTGCATTTCTACCCGCCACAATCGCCTGCTGTTGCGGAAAAATTCGCTTCAGGGTGGCCGCTCCCCTTGCCGCAAAAATGACACCCCCTACGGTGGTGAGCAAGACATCTTGATCATGTCGTCGACGATTGCGGAGTAAGCATTGGATCGCCACGAGATCATCAAAGCCCGCATCTGTGTCGACAATGAGCACGCGACGGGCTGATGTCATTAACCTTGCTCTTCGATTAGTATGGACGAGATTGTGTCTGAAGCTTGGAGTGCATGAAGGCGCAAAGTATAGAAAGGCACTTGTTGGAACCTTCCAAAGCATGGCAACAAGCGACAGTCTGGTTGAGGACCAGGGGAGTGGTGGGAAAGAGAAATGAGAAAGCAAAGAGAAAAATGAGACTGACGTCATTCGCCATTAGCTGACAGAGCTGTTGAAGTCAAAGTGGAGGGGTTTCTTTTACAGCACATGCTTTCATTGCTTCCACATTCCGACCTGCCAAATTTCCCGACCGTTGGAAGAAGCAAAGATTTGGCAAGAGTGCACCATCGAATTTGGGCTCAACACACGGCATTGTGTTGCTTTCTGTCATTTGTTGTTGTGGTCTGAGGCAAGATGATGAGGAATACTGTGGCGAGTCTGTTGTTGTACCTGTGCTTGTCCATTTTTGCGGATGTAGGGCACTCCGAGAGTGAAATTGGGGAGTTTTTCGAGGAGTGTGGTTTCTATCAGTCTCTGAGAACAACTGCAGATTCCCCAATACGGAAGCTGCGATCGAAATACCAAGACATTGAAATTCATCGGTCAAAGCACTATGGAAATATCTTGGTTCTGGATGGTGTATTACAGCTGACCGAGCGTGACGCAAATGCCTATAATGAAATGCTGGCTCATGTACCTCTGTTCCAACACAACAATCCCAAGAGAGTACTAATATTGGGAGGAGGCGACGGGTGAGTCCTTGCGGAGTTTTGAGTTTACTGCCAATTTGACTTTTGGTCTAAATTTTGCTCATGATGTTGGATTGATTCGATTCAAGATATGTCTTGAGTGAAGTTCTGAAACATGAGAGTGTTGAGCAGGTGGACCACTGCGATCTGGATGACAAGGTGATCGAAACATGCAAGGAGTTTTTCCCTTGGGGCAAGGCTTGGGAAGACCCTCGAGTCAAGCTGTATGTGGCGGATGGGGCTGCATTTGCTCGAGATGCCCTAGCTGAATCTTATGATGTTATCATTCAAGACTCCTCAGACCCCTGGACTGTAAATGCTGAAGGGGAAATCGTTCCTTTGCCTTCTAGTGCACTGTATGAAAAGGCGCATTTCCACAATCTACATCGAATTTTGAAACCTGAAGGTATCTTGAACTTTCAGGCGGAAACATTCACGCTTCCTTCGGACCTGGAGGGTATTGTGAATTGGCGGCAACAAGCTCTGGAGACTGGATTTCCATCGGCAACGTATGGGTCACTCTACATTAGTTCCTACCCCACCGGGCAAATTGGATTCTTATTGTGTGAAAAATCACCAGGAGTTGCCACAATGAAAAGTGAGATACAGCGTCGGTTCCAGCAAATGGAACAAGCAGGTCAGGGCACATCCTATTATCATCCTCGGCTACAGCAGAGCTCCTTTGACTTGCCCCTATGGGTCCACAGAACAATCTACGGATCAGACAGTCTCGATTCTGTTTGCCCCGATGTGTCAGAAGCCGGAGATGAACAGTCCTCGTCATAGAGCCATTGCTGCTCCTGAAGGAAGGCACACCAGTCTTGTGCTGTGATTGCCCATGGTTGTAGCTTGGCGATCTACGGTGTAGCTAGTGCTTTTTGCCGCAGTTGTTCAGCGTGTAGCTTTGTCTTTATTTTTACAGCATCGTTGTGCATCTGGAGCTAGGTATTCTAGTTAGCTCGCTGCAAAGTATCTAAAAACTCGTGCATGGATCCTTTGGATCCTCTGGTCCAGCGCTTGGGTCAGGCTCGTATTCGCGTCTCGGTTTGGCTTTTAATTCTCGTACCGGTTCAAGTCTTGGTGCAGTACAATTGGCAATTGATAGCCAAAGCCTCTCTCAGCTGTTCTCGTGTTCAACAATGCTGCCATCACTCCCGTGATGTGCCAAACGCCAGGTTAGTCTGATGGATGATTGTCCGGCAAGGACTTCATAGCTTGTGACTGAAATGGTGCCTGACGTTTGGCAGGAGGGTCAGAATGGTATTGGAGGCAACATACCAATCAGGGTGTGTGAACACAGAAGGAGCAAAGATGACAGGACAATATCGGATTGTGTCATTAGTTGAGAAATCCTGCAAATGAAGGATGCCATTCTGACACTGAAATCGGTCCTAATGAGAGGCACCATAATGGATGTGGAAGATTCTTCATATCTCTGCGGATCTGAAACCCAAGCTGGATGTTGGGGCTTGACTTTCTAGTTTCATGGCTTAGAATACCGGTCCTTGCATCGGTGAGTGACCGCTATCCTCCGCAGTTAGGTCATCAGTGGTTTTGCAATTCCTCTGGCGTCGAGTGGCTAATTGGGCCCGCTGACAACGGGCACAGGATTTGGCCCCCCACCGGGGACGGACGTTGGTCCCAGGCCTGTTGCAGTACCTTTGCATTCTTTATCTCCCACACGGTTCGAATCGCCACAAACACCGCTGGCGCATTGCTCGTCCTTAATACAAAAGTCTCCAGGTTGTCCTTGACCATTGGCAGGAACACACATGTTGTAGCAATTGAAAAAGAGAAGAAATGCACAATCAAAATGCTGACAGTTGCCCGACTGGCATTCGCTGCCTTGATGGCATGCCACTCCCAGTGCCTTTGGCTGATCAATGCACTGACCTCCTGGTTCTGCCTCTTCCTCTGCAGAGGCTGGAACTTTGCATTCGTATTCTTTAACATCGTTCGAGTCGGCGCAGATGGCACTTTGGCATTGACTGCCCTTGGTACAAATGTCCCTGGGTTGTCCTTGACCAGTTGCAGGTGCACAAACCTTGTAGCAATCAAATATCAAAAAGAAAAAACAGTCAAAGAGATTGCAGTTTCCTGACAAGCATTCGTTGTCATGATGGCAAAATGTACCGATTGGCTTTAGGTCGCAAGTTTGTTGTTGCTGCTGCTGCTGCTGTGGCTGTGGCTGTTGCTGCTGTCCTTGTAGTGGTTGCAGTTCTATCTCGGGATGATTTGTTTCTCCGGATGTTTCTACCGGTGACTGTGTGGGTCCGACAGCCGCCGGTGGCAGTACAGTTGGAGCCGACTGAGGAGGAGGAGAATACCCTCCTCCAGCAGCTGCTTGGGTTGCTGGTTTGACGCAATGACGCCCGAGGCATTCGAAATGGTTATAACATGGTCCAGTTGCATAATTGGGAAGCGGGTCAAAGCACTGTCCATGTCGACACCAAAAGGAATTGCATTGTTGATGAGAGCTGCATTGATTCCCTGGTTCGAGCAGACAAGGCGTGCCTAGAAGTGCCAGTATCGGACACGCCCACCGTGCTTGTCGACCGAGAAGAAACAGCCATTGGCTAAAGGAGGAGGTGAGAAAGTCTTCCAAGTGGGTGGTTGCCATGATGACTTGTTGTTTGCAGACAGGAAAAGCCAAACTTTAGAGTTAGCCTATATAGAGTTGCGACTGGCAGGAAATGGAACTGCCTCCAAATCTTGATTGGATGAGATCTGTAGATGGCAACGGTAGAGATCTCACACAAGCTTCCAGAGTAACAGAGATAAAGACCCAGTTGGCAGTGGATTCATACTTCCGTGGCGAAAGTTTGGTCAGCCAAAGTCGTCGTTCCTGGTACAACTGTAGCACCAAAATTGGGGACCAAGGTCATCGATGCTGGTCCACATTTTGTCAGCGGAACAATGTAACGCCACTTTCACGTGCGCGTCATGGGCTGTGTTTCTGATTGTTGCTTTTAAAATTAATAGAGCTACCGGTACCATGCATGGCTACTGCTATCGTCAGTGAAAGCGCCATTGTCGCAACTCCAAAAACCAAAGGACAAAAACGCAAAAAGGGAGCAGTTTCAATCCTGTCGGATCAGTCACTGCAGGTTGACGTTCCTGTCACAGTTCCTCCATTCATTCCTGCTTGCTTGACACGTGCCTTCAGCAACCCCGAAAAGCCCAACAGATATCAAAGGGAAGATGAGCTCACAAAAAACAATCATCAACAAAAGCAAACAACAAACAAACAATCAATCAACAATGAGCAGCAGCAACAACAACACAACAGTAAATATGGGATCCCCAGTGGACACTGTAAAGAAAACCAAACAAGGTCATTCCTTCCTGGGTTGTCTCTGTGACATGAGAAGGGCTGTGATCATGCTTGATACCCTTGGCATGATTGGAAGCATCATTGCTCTTGTGGCTGTGATTATCTATGACAAATATGGAACAGAAGAGGATAAGAAGGCTTTGATGCTTGAGAACTATGATTTTGGCGCTCTTATTGCTATTTACAGTGCCGTCATCATCTGTCACCTCAGTGCAATCATTGGTGCCATCACATTCACCATTTGCCCAATTTTGATCACCATCCTTATGAACATTACCTATGCTGTCATTGCTGGTTTGGACAAGAACTGGATTGGTCTTGGAGTCTACATCTTCCTCCTGTATCCCCATGTCTTCCTTTGCAATGAGCTTGCCAAGGGCATCATGACCAAGGAGAATTACCGCAGCCAAGAGCGCCAGTCTTGTTGCTGTGTATAGAACCTGAGGAAAGGATCAGCAGTGAGAGTATGTATCAGCCTGTGTGCATTATTTCAATAGAGAACTGAAGCATGATAAACAATAGAGAAAAAAATTCTTAGACAATCACCTTTGCTTTGGGAACTCAAAAGGCGTCAAAGCAACAGTAGTTTGAAATTGGTACAGTCCTCAGAAAAGTTTAGAGTGCATTGCCTCACGCCGAAAGACCTTCTGATTGAATGATTCAATCATTCTATACCCCCGAGCTACCGGTACCAGGTACACTGTACCGGTACATCGGTACCGGTAGGCATTCGTTGCCTGCCTCCGAGGATCCTCATTACGTAATTAATTAATTAAGCCAGCAAAAAGAAAAATGAGGATGACGTCCTCTGCCACGTCATGAAGGCGAAAGACAGGAGGAAACAGAGCAACGAGAAGAATGCAGCACCGTATTGTACGTCGTCTCTCCTTGGAGTTATAATAGTTGCGGGTTGAAGCCATTCATCAAGTCTTCATTGTGGTGTTGGCACCATGAACTCTCTCTCGTGTGCCAAAGTTTGCAAAAGCTTGTTTGTTGGACTTGTGTTGTGCTCTTCATCATTATCATTTGCATCGGCATTTCTGCCCGCAAGCAATCATGCGTCGACAAGAGTAGCTGTTACTCAAGTTTGGAGCCGGCAGCAACAAGAGCAAAAAGAATCGTCTTCCTCTTCGATATCGTATGAAGAAACCGATGCGTCTTCCAAAGGGATCGTGTCGTCCCTGACTGGCATGGTCAATTTTCTTTCCTTCAACAACAATGACGACGTGGATGAAAGCAGCAACAATAATGGCAGCGAGGACTTGACACCCCCACAAACCCCCGACGAATTGCTCGAACGGATCCGCGACGATTACGTGGTTCGAAACTATCTTTGGACGGGCGATATTGATTTGGCATCCTTCGACAAACAATGCCGCTTTACCGATCCCACCCTGTCCTTTCAAGGCACGGACCAGTTTGTCCAAAACTTGAACAATCTCGTGCCTATTGTCGACGCCTTGATTGGGGATACCGGTAACTGCCAATCGGATCTGCTGGACATTCAACTCAACCGAGAGAAGGGATATGTGCAAAGTCGATGGAACATGGTGGGAAGCTTGGCCCGGTTGCCATGGAAACCCAAAATTGACGTCATTGGCAGGACCAAGTTTTGGTACAAGACTTTACTAGTAGACGACGATACCACCACGACAGAGGGCTACCAAGTGTACTTTTACGACGAGGAGTGGGAAATCCCTGCTGCCAAGGCTCTATTGCAGTTGATCACTCCACCAGGAACCATTCAGAACAGCAATCAACAATGACCACAATCTCTCCAGCAGGAACCATCTAAATCAGCAATCAGCAATGACACTACCATGTACCGGTACAGAACATCTTCAGAAATTTCAAGGCGAAGCGTCAAACTGATTGTAATTAGAAAGATCATTATGTATTATTTTATCATCTACAAGGTTCATACTGTTGCTATTGCATTCAAGACAAGACGCGCAAACCCTACTACAACATCAGCACTGCAATTGCTCCCATCGTTACGGCAATGAAAGATTCCAACGATTGCACAACGGCTGATGACGACGCGGAACCAACACCGTTGCTCTCTCGGTGATAGCCTCCGAAACCACCACCAGACAAGGCACTATCCGTTGCCGTTTCTGGTTCTTTGGCTCCAAATTCACTTTCTGTTTCCTCGTAGTTATCCTTTTCGGCATTGGCAGGATCGTCGTTGAAGTTGCCTCGTTCCATAATGACATCACTGCCGGGACCACCAACACCGGCGCCAACGCTGTTGTAGCTAGTGTCGATTTGAGACTCCACTGTTGTACTGGGTCGAGGATTATAGTCGGTATCCATGTTCACCACATAGTCTGGCAACGTGGGCTCTTGTGGGATCAGCTCGTAAATGACAACATCGTCCACCGTGGGATGGCACATACAGACACTAAAGTAGACTGATTGTCCTCCAAAGCTGTAGATGGTTTCATTAAACACCACCGAGGTGGAGCGGAAACGATACTCTGTCAATCGATCCACAACATCCCATCGACCATTGTCGTATACTTCGATGGAATACACTGGAGTCTGGAACTGGGAAGGATCTGGATTGGTCTTGTCGCAAAGCTTTCCCATTTCCTGAGCCCCGCCAATTGCCACCACTTGATGATCAATCTCAAGCACAGACTTGCCCGTTCGGGCCTGTTGCAAAGGTGCCACTTCTTCCCAAACGTCATTCTCAATGTCAAAGCGCTCGGCGGAATCCAACGGAGAGCAGAATTGGTTGGTATGAGAGGATCCTCCGCTGACATAGGCATACTTCTCTTCTTCATCCACAATGATACCCAAGTCGCCTCGTCGATGATTCATGTTGGGATGCCGGATGATGTCCAGTTCACCAAGGTCCCAGCTGGCAACGGGGTCAATGCTAAACACTCGTTTTACTGTTCGGTAGTTTGGAGAGAATCCACCCACAAAGTAGGCTCGTCCCCGAGCCGCAAAACCTCCAACATCCGAAACAGAATAGGTCCAGTGCAAGTCGTTAAAGAGCCTCCATCGCATATCTTCAAAATCGAATACCTAGAGCAAGGCGAAGAAAAACATCTCGGATGAGATAAGGATACTCTACCTTGTGTAGGAGCTGATGCAAGATGATACTTACCACGACACTTCCCACCACTTGATCGTTGGCATCTCGACCTCCCACCAACCAAAGTTGATTGTTGATGGCCACCGCGGCGTGACGGTATCGAGGACCCGGCATTGGAGGCAGGACTTCGAACTCTTTTGTTTCCGGATCAAATGCGTAAAATGCATCAGAAACAGATTCGCATCGGAATGCTTGTCTATCTTCATCGTATTGATTCCCAAACGGCGAGTCGCATCCTCCAGCAATGTAGATTAGATCATCGGGTCCCACGGTAGCCGAAACATCCGACAAGGGTTTTGGAAGCTTAATCTCAGTATTGGCGTCTCCAAATCTCATATCCGGCACCGCATGAGATGATGAGACTGCCAGCAAGACAATTGTAGCAAAAAACTTGCGGTGGGCCAAGTTTCCTATCATCATGGTCAACGGTTCTGGTCGCAGTAGCTCGTTGTTACTACGTTATATTCGCGGACGTATCCAGAGAATGGTGTTGCTTGCAAGTATGCAAAAGTTTGGGTCTTATTTCGGGTGTTCAGTCTGGAAGAGCACTCCAATTTTTGGCATGGAATCTCTCCACAGGACCAAGAGAGTCAGTTGCTGGAACAATGCGGTTCCGGCATGGTTGGCCAAATTTTCTTTCCAACCGCCAACTGTGTGACCATCTGCGCATCAACCCGCTCCGACTCCTGCGATCCATGCGGGTTGACTTCCCGAACACAATCAACTTCCGTTGCGTGCTCATCGGTACCACGGAAGATTGCACATGCCTTTCTTCCATGCTCAAAAGCATGCTCATTCTCGATGGAAGTAATCTTATCGAGTTTACTGCGTACTGGTATGGCTACGATACTCTCTATACGGATAGTGCAGGAATTGACCAGCTTAGTCTACCTAGTATACTAGCAATTTTTAAAATAGGTTACTATTAGGAGGTTTCGGAGGTCAAAACTTTGCTAAAGCCAAGTTTCATGGAATTGTTTTGACTACGGTATGATATAGCCAGAGGATTGTACCGTATGAGTGGGATCACAGTCCACCCGATCGCAGGGAGCATGGGAATGGTACATTGGCGTCTTGAAAGGCGGAACAATCCGTCCGTTTTGATGAGCCGCATGGAGAGAATGATCCTCGTAATCCCACCGTAGACTTTGTCAGCCATTGAAATGACCAATCTGGATCCTGTTAGCTGATGAATTCCAATAAGGCAGGTCGCCATAACATTGGGAAGAGCAGCTGCCAAAGATACCGTAAGGGATTGAGGAGCAATGTAGGGAAGTTGAGGTGGCTTTGGGAGACCAAACGTGTTTCTAAAGAAGGCTGTTGGAGGCAGAAAGGGATCTTACAACATGCCTACATAGCCCTCAACTTGGTTAGGGCCCTTGTGAATTTTGTTTGGATGTTTGTCTGTTTGTCCAATTGTCCGTTTGTCCGTTTGTCCGTTTGTCGGTTTGTCCGTTTGTCCGTTTGTCCCTTTGTGTGCCACAGTTTTTAGCCGTAACCCTAATAATGGTAGCCTGGCCAAATGCAAATTGCAAAAGAGGAACAAATAATAGAGTATGTAGCTAGCTACTGGCTAATTGGCACTGTACCATAGCTCCCAAGCAGCCAACTGATCATTACCTAGCTAGCTAGTAGCAGAGCCTAATATCTTAGCTAGCTAGATAGCTACCAAAGCAGCCAACTGTTTATTACCCAGCTAGCTAGAAATGGGCTCTATCCAGCTAGGCAGCAGTAGCAGAACTAGCTAGCTTGGCAACACATTGTTTCCAACCAGCCGAATGATTCCAAACTCGTTGAGGGCTCCTGCTTCGGCAGCCTCAATCATTTCTGTGATCTTGGTTTTTGCTTGGGGATGGGCAAATCTTGCTATAGGGCTGGAGTGTACTCAACAAGTGACTCAGAATGTCAGAAAAAGGAGAAAATATACATTTTCGCGGAAGCAAAATTCAATTGGATTAGATTGCATTGGATTAGATTGAATTGGATTAAATTGGATTCCAAAAAGTACTGTTATTTGTACAGTAAATTGGAATTCAATGCAATGCAATCCAATTCAATTCAATCCGATCTAATCCAATAAAACAATTGCAGCCAAATACAAATATGCCCTTTTTCATAGACACTTTTACAAAAAAACGCTATCAAATAAATGCAATGCAGCCCTAACTCTAGAAGGGCAAGTTTGCTCGTCCCCCTTGAGTCTACAGGCGCCGCATCACAGAGAGACGACGTACTGTACGACGACGACCAAAGAAGGAGATAAAGATTCTTTCATTATAAGCCAGCAAGCTACCGTAATGTGAACCCGGCTGCCTACAAAAATGGCTTTCCATGTGCATGCTAGAAATGGCCATCTGGAAGTGCTTGAATATGCACAAGCACAAGGCTGTCCCTGGGATGAAGGGATATGCCTGGAAACTGCAAGGAATGGCCGAATTGAAATCCTGAAGTAGGCTTTCGACGAGGGCCTGCACACGGGTTTTACAAGAAGTGCTAGCTAGGCAAGAGCAAAGGCCTGGATTCGATTCGATTCGAGGAATGCTTCGTTGTGCTCCTAACTGGTACGGTATGCTGCGGTGGGATCACTCGGCTTCAATGAATTGCAAAGCAGTCAAGTAATGTTCTATAAGTAACTGTGTTTTGCCATCGTACCAGCTGCCTGGTTGCAACCCAAGTTGCCGCCCCGACCTTGTCGCGCGTAGCTGAGTGGATTTCAGTGCAGCCCTGTCCCAGGCGTCGGTGTTGCGTGCAAGTGCTGCGCTCGGGAAGACACGTGTATCACTGTACCAAGCTTCCCTTTCTTTTCCTCCTCCAAAATGTGAATCACAAGCAACACACAATTTTGTTTAGTTAAGTTATTCATGTAGGATGACGTGCACTGCTTTCTTGACATTGCTGAGTAGAGATCTCTTGTTGGCACATCCAAAGTCGCATTCAAGTTTTCCCCGTATGACCATATACCGGTAGGTTCGTAGCAATCCACTTGTTTCATTCTTCATCTAAAACACCATTATCGCTTTCTGATATGTCCGAGCTAGCTAGTCTAGGTACACTTTCAACTGAAGAAAGCCGCCAACAACAGGGCGAGCCCTGCCGTCATGGTAGAAAAGCTCGTCGCTCCAGAATCGTCCGTGACAGATGCTCCCGGGGGGTTTGTGGTGGCCGCCTCGTCCTTTGTGTCGTCGTGGTGGTCGTGATCGCCATCCTCGTGGCTGTAGACATCCCCGGCATCTTCGTCTGGGGACACATCCACGTAGGTGACGACTTCGTTGGTTGTTTTCAAGCAGTTGCAAGTTTCATCATATCCGTGTTGTCCACCAAATGTATAGATGGTATTTTTGTATGCCACAGCCGCAAAGCGAAAGCGTGTTTCGGGCAATGCCGACGAGATTTCCCAAGTGGAATCATCGTCATTCAATACTTCGATATCATCTACGGCCAAAGTCAATTCTCCCGGTGAGGGATTATCAATGTCGCAAATATTGTCATCCTGACGTTCTCCACCCATACTGATAATGTGATCTTCCAAGGTCACCATGACCTTGTCGGCACGAGCGGTGGGCAGCGATGCGACTTTGATCCACGTATCTCCATCCAAACTGTATCGTTCGACGCTTTCCAAGGGTCGACAAAAGTTGTTTTCGTGACTGAATCCTCCACCAATGTAGGCATATCCCGTGCCCAAATTGACCGTGGCAGCAACATCTCCACGTGCCTCCTTGAGATCGGCATGTCGGATAACTTCTGGTTCGGCCAATTCTCCAAAGGAGCTCACGTCAATGCTAAAGACAGTGGTCTGAGCCGTGTAGTTGGCAGTGTATCCACCCGCAAAATAGGCATGTGTAGCAGTTGCCCAACCAGCAAGGTCTGAAGTGGCGTATTCCTCTGGAAGCTCCACTGTAGTCCAGGATTGAGTGGCAATATCAAAGACCTTACAAGTAAAAAAAACGAAAAAGATTGAAAGGGACAATATCAGAAAAATGAGGTATCAATTGAATGATTCAATCTATGATCACAAGGGTATATTGGTTTGTTTGTTTGGTCTTACATTCACATCGGTCAACAGACCATCCTCAAGACTTCTTCCTCCCACAATCCAAATTTGGTTATTGACAGCGGCAGAGGCATGACGGTATCGGGGAGAGGGTAGATTGGGCAGAGTCTTGAATTCTTTGGTTTCCGGGTTGAAGGAGTAGAACGAGTCGGAAACGGAGCCACAGGTGAAGAAACTGGCATTGGCATCAAATGTGTTTCCATTGGGATCGTCGCAACCACCGGCAATGTAGACCAAGTTGTCTTGCGCCAGAGATGCCGTGTGATCGGATAGGGGCTTGGGGATCTGGGCTTCCAGTACGGTTCGTTCCAATTCAATGTCGTGATTGGCAACAATCAACGATGGCAAGAGCAGAAAGCTGGCAAGGATGGAGAGCTGTCTCATCATGGTGGATCTTTCAATTATTATTGAGAATGAATGATGAATGATCAATCGAATCGAATCCAGACAGCTGAATGGATGTGACAAACAGTGAGAAAGCTGGAGGATTTGATTTGTGGCTATCCGAAGCCCGAAGTCAAAAAATGAAAGTGCTCCGGATCTTTCGAGATGTTTCCGTGACGGTGGCACCACATTTCACCGTATCTTTGAAAAGCCTTTCCAACCACTCAATCAAAAGTACTATTCTTGCCACAGTGGATCTTTTCAAGATTTCCCCGTCTCCCATCGCCTCATTAATTCCAGCCCTACTGACTTTTTAGTCATCATCGCGAGTGGAGTGTTGGTGGGGGTGGAGACGAGTGACTCAGCATTTTTGAAAACAAGATGCCTCCGGTTGCGCCAACCACGGAAATAGAAATAGCAAAAAGGGCTGTCACTTGATTGGCAAATAGCTAATACTTACTGCCATGGGCTCCCAGAATGTATACGTTCTTTAGATAGCTGCTGCGTAATGGTTTAATCTACCTAAACCCCTGTTTATATTATTGAGGAGTGGAGTTTGGTTACATCTGGCCGGTACCGCGTAATGGTCTAATCTACATAAACCCCTGTTTATATTGAGGAGTGGAGTTTGGTTACATCTGGCTGGTACTGTGTAATGGTCTAATCTACCTAAACCCCCTTTTATTTTGAGGTGTGGAGTTTGGTTACATCTGGCCGGTACCACGTAATGGTCTAATTTACCTAAACCCCCGTTTATATTGAGGAGTGGAGTTTGGTTACATCGGCCGGTCACTGTGTAATGTGTCTAATCTTACCTAAACCCCCTTTTATTTTAGGATGTGGAGTTTGGTCACATCTGGCCGGTACCACGTAATTGTCTAATTCTACCTAAACCCCCGGTTATATTGAGGAGTGAGTTGGTTACATCTGTCCGGATACCACTTAATTGTCTAATTTACCTAAACCCCCGTCATATATTGAGGAGTGTGAGTTTGTTTAAATCTGGCCGGTACCACGTAATGTGTCTAATCTACCTAACCCCCTTTATATTTGAGGGTGTGGAGTTTGGTTACATCTGGCGGTACACGCGTAATGATCTAATCTACTAAACCCCCATTTATATTGAGGAGTTGAGTTTGATTATCATCGGGCGGTCCATGTAATGGTCTAATCTTACATTAAACCCCCGTTTATATTGGATGGAGTGGAGTTTGTTTACATCTGGCCGGTACCACGTAATGGTCTAATTTACCTAAACCCCCAGGAGTGGTACTCGCGTATGTTTATTAAATTAGAGTGGTTGGTCTTGGTGATTTTAGTATCTAACTTTAGGATTGGTAATTGGCTTAGTAGCTCTCTGGTATTGCTTCCTATTCTAACCCCCTTATATTGGGGGTGGGTTTTGGTATTTCTTGGTGTCGTTGGTTCTTATACCTCCCCAATAGTGGGAGGTCGAGTTGGTACCATCCGACTAATAGTCATTCTCCTCTGAGCTGGTTTGGCGTACCATCTGGGCGGAAACTGTGCAATGGTTATTTACCTAAACCCCCTTTTTGTTGAGGTGGTGGAGTTTGGTTACATGAGGCCAGGTCCGCGTAATGTCATAATCTATTAGACCCCCCTTTGTTATGCTAGTAATACTGAGCTTATTGGGAGTAATTTGGTTTTAGAATTAACTGAAAAGCAAAAGTGAGGATTTTTCTGGTGTGTGAGCAATTCTTGTGATGATTGGAATATAGGACCTCGTAGCACTTTCGTCTCTCAAATCTACTCCTTTGGTTCCTGGCATGATGAATTTTACATGGAACAATAGCATGATCTCCCGAGTCAATAGTAAGAAGTGTTGTAGGTAGCCTTCCTCGCAACCGACTCCTCCGTGCCAGTACTCGTGGAACGAATAAATAATTAGGCAATCAACAACGGGTAGAGATGCCGCCATAGATGTACGCCTCTGTGTCGTTTGGTAGGAGTTGCCTGAGGGGCTTTCGTTGAAAGAAGTATCTCCACGCATTTCCAAGGTTGGCCAGTACACAACACTAAGGTTGACTCTTTCCAATCTGGTACATGAATAAAAAAAACGAATGTTGATAGCCGAGTTCTTTTGCGCGAAATGCCTTTGCCATTATCTGCAAGAATGATCGTGCTTTTGTTGTCCTGCATGAGGATGTTGTCCTTCGAAAACGATCACCTGCTCTTCATAGGAACAAATTTGCCCACAACATGGGCGACGATAACATCGTCAGCTCCAATCAATTACGCTTCAGTGCTGCTCCTCTGAATCAAACTTCTGTTTCAGCAGACTACAGAAAGCACCGTCCTCTTCAAAAGGACATGACTCCTCCGTATGGGAAGGTAATCAGAGATGGACTGAAATGATGCATCCACCCACACAAGTGTATGACATGAGTATGTCATCAATGTAGTATCAACTTGTCCTCCAATGTTTGTGTCCAGCGATTCATCCTTGGATCAACTTGCCCAGTTCATCATGTGGGATTCCTCACACATGTGCGAGACAATTGTTCATGTGTCATGAATTGTCTTTGCTCTCTTGCACTACGAACAACAGCTTGCTGCGTTGGTGTGATAGATTTCTGTCTTGTATCTCAATAGCAGCTCATCCCATGAATAAATCGTGCAGGTGCCGCGTGTCGGACTTCTATTTGCTAGTCACCGGAACTCAGTCATTTTTTACTTATAGTCGATCATGTCAATGACGACCTTGCCTGGATCTGAAAAGTCCACCTTCATCCCCAAGTATTCATTCTTGGGACCACGGGTTGCTTTGACTGCTCCATAGGTTTCATACCTAGCGTTGAACCCTTCCAGAGTTTGGGTATTCACCAACTTCATTCCGTGGCTTGACATCAAATCATCAACATGAAATCGAATTGTTTGTTAGTACCCCTCGATCATGCGATTAGCCACACAAGGATCGTAACTGTTGAACACAAATCCAATATCTTCGAGGTCGCTCCTGAAGAGCATGTACCAGAGCAATGCTGCAAAAACCATTCCAGGATGGCTCTTTCCACTACGACATAGAGGACTGGTTGTCCCTTCTTGTATGTCAAGAAAGAGGCATATGTGTCAAGATCAATTTCGACAGAAGTGAGGGTTCCTCAATGATGAGCCTTCTTCCCTTGTTTGCTTTGAATTGGTTTGGATGAAGTAAATAATTTTTTTTTC